ACACTCCACTACAATACTCAGTGGTTACAACTGTTGACAACTACAAAACTATATATACAGTGCGCTCCTATTATATTTCTTAATGGTTAAGCACACTACTACTTATATACACAAACAATAATGTCACGTAGGCTAAATACTAAAATACTGAATTACTTTTCAACATCATCCCTTAATTCAGTATTTAACTAATCAAAACTAACCAACACCAATTTCATCCCTCAAGTGGAGAAATTGACTAGTCTTGATCACCTTCGTCAGAACATCTGTCAGTTGCCTATGAGTGCTACAGTGCACAACTTTTAACACTCCATTCTGGACTTGACTTCTCAAGAAATGATATTTCATCTCAATATGATTTTCTTCTCCCACGCAACACTGAGTTCTTGTCAAGATTGATTGCACACTTGTTATCAATCACCAGCTTTAGAGTTCTCTTGAAAACACATCTGACGTTGATGACTTTCTTGTCCTTTGAAAGCTCAGTCAACTTCCAAGTCTTGTTTCTTTCTATAGCCTTAAGTTATTCTTACACGGCCTTAAGCCACATTGAGCGCTTCTTATGTACTCACTAGTTCAGAGTCTACTAACGTGGCACATTGAACGACTTCTCCCTTAGAGTCTACTTCAGTATCTTGCAACATGTCAAGCTCTGCAAATCTTATGGTTATTTGTCTGATTTTTTGTGGCCTCTGAAATTGTTCAAAATCTCCTTCTGGTTCTAGAACATTATTAGATACTTGAGCACCTCAAAAGTTGGACCACCTTCAGAGGCTCCACCTTCAAAAGATCCACCTCTAGAAGCTCTATCTTCAGAGATTGGATTACCTCCAGATTTGGATCATCATCATTCAAATCTCGATCAAAATCAGATTCACCTTCAGAACCTTCTTCAGTTTCAAAGTCACCTTCAGACTCTGGCACATCTTCAGACTCACCTTCAGAATCAACTTCTAATTTTGACTCATCTTCAAAATCTTCAAATTCTGAAGTATCTTCAGAAGTTAACTCAAATGTTAATACCACACAAGAGTTGGATTGAGATTCACTTTAATCCCCACGCTTTTGGTTCTTTCACAACGACGTCTCTGCTAAATTCAATCTTATTAGTGACAAGACAGTAAAGCTTATAAGTACTTGTACTGTGGTACCTTACAAGTAACATAACTCTACTTTTGTCATCCAACTTCCTTCTCTTAGCATCGAGGATATGTTTGTAACGCACAAAACCAAACACCTTCAAATGGCTCACACTTAGCTTATCTCCAGTCCACTTCTCTAAAGGAATAATCTCCTTCAACTTCTTGGTTGGACACCTGTTGAGAACATATGTTGCGGTGGCAATAGCTTCTTCCCTCAAGGCGTGAGGGAGCTTCTTCTCCTTTAGCATGCTCCTTATCATATCAAGCAAAGTTCGGTTTCTTCTTTTAGCAAGATCATTGTGTTAGGGAGTGTATGGAGCAGTCATATCATGCTAAATTCCATTCTCCTCACAAAACTTTCTGAACTCGGTAGAGCTATACTCACCTCTACCATCAGTTCTGAGAATCTTCAGAGTCTGACCACTATGATTCTCAGCCTTAATTCTGAATTTCTTAAATTCAGCAAACACCTCATGTTTGAACTTTATAAGGGATACCCACGTCATCCTTATGAACTCATCCACAAATGACACAAAGTATTTATTCCCTCAATGTGAAGGTAGTGGAAATGGTCCACACATATTAAAATGCACCAAACCCAAAACATGCTTTGCTCTTGGAGGCATTTCAGATGTAAAAGGCAGTCTTGGTTGCTTCCCTTTCATGCATACATTGCATGACTTCTCTAGCTTCTTAATTGTAAGAATTCCATGTACCAACTTCTTTGAATTCTGATGCCCTAATCTTCGGAAGTTCAAATGGCCACATCTTTTATGCCACAACTCATTTTCCTTCATAACACTTGTTGCACTCAGGCATTCAGAGTCTGCAGTTTTGATATTCACTTTGAATGTTATATTCCTCCCTTGTTCTGACTTCATAATCAACTTCTGATTGCAGTCATACAACTTCAAAAGATTATCCTTCATGGTAATTGAAAAACCTTTCTCAATTAATTGGCCTACACTCATCAGATTGCACTTCATGCTAGATACATACCACACATTTTGAATCAACATTGTTTTACCATTATTCAGAACTACTTTGACATTTCTCATACCTTCAGCGTTGAGGTATTTGTCATTAGCACATCTGATATTTGTCTTCTTTCTAGAGTCAAAGTCAACTAGCCATTTCTTATTTCCAGTAAGATGATTTGAGCAGCCAGTGTCCATATATCACCAATTTGTTAAATACGCATCATAAGATTCATAAGCCATTAATAGCACAGATTCATCGTTAGAATCTCTTTTGGCTACATTCGCTTCTTCTGACTTTCTTTCCTTGTTTGACCAACAGTCAGTAGCGAAGTGGCCAAACTTCTTACAATAGTAGCACTGAACCTTTCTTTTGGCATACTTCTCATTCTCCTTCTAAGCACTCTTCTGCCTTCTAAAAGTTGAGGTTTATGACTTCTGATACCTACCATGTCTTTTCTTGGCCTCTGACCAAGTATGCTTCTGATCCTTTTTTTACTAAAGAAGCTTTCAGAGCCTACTCTACCTCTCTCTCAGAGGTTCTTTCAGTCAGACGTAACTCTTGTGCCTCTAGACTGCTTTGCAACTCTTCTATTCTCATTGTGCTCAGATCCTTAGAATGTTCAAAAGCTACAACTATGTAATCAATATGAATAGTAAGAGATCTAAGTACATTCACAATGATCTGTTTTTCACTGAGAGTTTCTCCACGCGACTTCATCTCATTTGTGATCAGAATCACTCTAGAGATGTAGTTAGGTATCTTTTCATTGTTCTTCATGTTGAGATTCTCATACTGCTTACGTAAAGATTGAAGCTTCACCTTCTTCACTGATGCATCACTGCTGTAGCACCGTACTAGTGTGTCCTTTGCAGCCTTCGCTGTCGACGAATTAGCGATCTTCTCAAACACGTTTACATCCACACACTGATGGATGTAGAACAATGTTTTTTGATCATTCTTCCTCAAATCACAATGAGCATTCATCTGCGCATCTGTTGCATTTTTTGGAAGTGCAACTGAAACGTAACAATCGTTGACGAGATCAAACACATCTTTAGCGGGAAACAACACACACATCTGAATCATCCAACTATTCCAGTTATTGTCATCGAACACTGGAAGTTTGGTACTCAGATTACCATTTCCATTCATCTTTGACCTTGTGCAGTTCACTCAAATCTCACCAAACACGAGTGTTTCCCAATTCCGCAAAATTAAGAAATGTGATTCTGTTACGATTCCGATCAAGAAATTCAATACGAATTCAAGAAACAAAATCAATCACACAACGCCTCACCGTCCACTAGTGTTTCTCTGTGGATTTGATACAGAGCTCTAGATACAAATTGTTAGAGCACAAGATGAGAAAAATAAAGATGAAACAAGAGAATAATAAATTCTAACAAACTTCCACTATTATGATAAAACGGTTACAATAAAATAGTTGCACACATACTACATTACAATACTCCGTAAATATATATGAAATATTTAAGCCAATCATAAATATATTTAACCCTATGTTAAAATATATGAAAAAAATAATAATAAATAGTTAAAGGTAGAAAAATGATTCTATAAAAAATAACAATTTTTTATCTGTATGTTCAAATAATCTTAAAACAAAACAGTGGGTTGTAACTTTTTAGTCTAAATTGATTAAAAACCAACACATTCAAATAATCTTGAAACAAAACAGTGGGTTGTAACTATTAAACTTAATGACTATAAACACATTCAAAGATCAAACAAGTAATTCAGTAAAACTCTATATGTAAATTTTATAATTTTAATACATTGAAAATTGTGGTCACTGCATTTCATTTATCAAAATAAATATTCATGTTAATTAGTCATGTTTTTAATAAAAGCACACGTACTTTCTTTATTTTTATTTTTATTTTTTAATTCAATTATATATATATATATATATATATATATATATATATATATATATATATATATATATATATATATATATATATATATATATATATATATATATATATATATATATATATATATATATATATATATATATATATATATATATATATATATATATATATAATATTAAGATTATACAAAAATAACAAACAAACATATAACAAATTGTGCAGCTATCCTTTTTATATTGTCAAATTAATCCTCTTAAAAAAATAATATTATTCTAATACATACAACATTGTTATACATTTTCTATAAAAAAAATTATTATTTCTAATGCTAGAAAATAAAAATGTCAAAACAAATGAATAAAAATCTTAAACAAAGATGTATGTAGTCCGAATTTTCTTTTTGATGCATCTGGTTCAAATTTTGAATTAAATACATAAACTTTTTTTTTTCATTTTACATGCATTTAAGACAATTTCAATCAAATCTGTGTTATTTTAAATTCATATAATTAGGAATGAAAATAATTTTTGAAGTATAACTTTGTGCGGAATAATATTTAAACATGTATTTTAAATCAGATGGTCATATTTTATCGTTATTTTGGCACCCTTATAAAAATATTCTGTTCATTAACTTAAATTTAAAAAAATAAAAATTATACTATATGATGCTATTATAGAGTTTAACCATTAATTTTAAATCAAATAATTTTTAATTATGCGGAAAATTCATTTCTAAGTTTTTAGAGGTACCCTACAGTACTGCCCTTACACCAACAAAACATGGCCAAGTCCGTGACCCAGTAAACAAAGCCAATAACACTTTCTCTCTTCATTTCATCATTTCTCACACCTATAAATACCACTCACTCTTTCTCCACCATTTCCATTCACTTCAACCTCCAAATCATCCATATCTCATTCTCAAACCACCTTCTTAATTTCTTCTACCAAATCAAAACCTACCTTCAACAAAAAAATGAGAACCATAGCAACAACTTCAACTAGTTACTCAATTTCACCATCTTCATCGCCTTCACTGTCTCATTCTTCATGGCACTCGCCAATTCCTTATCTCTTCGGAGGCTTAGCAGCGATGCTAGGCCTCATAGCTTTCGCTCTCTTGATTTTAGCTTGCTCTTATTGGAGACTCACCGGTCAATTACATGACGAAGAAAACAACAACGGAAATAGTGAAAAAGAAGGTGATAGTTCGAACGAAAAATCTGTTAAAGTTTATGAAGAGAAATTTCTTGTCATTATGGCTGGTGATCAGAACCCTACGTTTTTGGCTACTCCTGTTTTTCCTAAATCAGCTTCTGTAATGGATCTGAATTCCGATGAACAGCTTCAAAATAATGAAGCGGTTGAGAAATCGGAGAAGGAAACGGAAACGGAAGTTGCAGAAGAACGGAATCAGAATCAGCAACAGTGACTTGATTTGATTTTTTTAATTGCTGCTTAATTTTGTTTATCATCTGGTTTAATTTCTTAATTTTGTTGGTTTGTTTTGCATAATTCCGATGTGTAAATTTAAGATGAGATTAATTGGAATTGAGTGAAATTTTTTTTAATCAGAAATTAATTTTTCTTAATCTTTAGTTTAATGAATGGTTTTTAGATTAAGAAGAGTGATTATGGTTGTTTCTCACGAGCAATAGTGATTAGTGAGAAATGAAAAACAAGTGTACTGTTGTGACCGCGTAACAGAATTTGTATGCAGAAAAATAAAATAAAAAAGATGACGCAATCGAATAATAAGACAAATTTTACCGTCTCTGTTGTAAGATTTTGATTATACGAAATTATTCTTTTATTTATGAAGAAAATGACAAATCTGAACTGAAGTTTTTGAGAATAAAATGAAGAAAATTACAAATAACAACCGATCTCTGTTGCAAGAAGTACAGAGGTATTTTTGTTTTTTATTTTTTATTTTATTAAAAAAATCTGAAATAACTAATATAGAGAACTAGTATTAGAAATCAATCGAACTCTATTGATAAAATTTAAAAGTCGGATCGTGCTTGATTCAACGGTGTGATAAAATAATCTGTGGTGAATTTCACGATGTAACAAAACAATTAGTGGATTTATTTAATTGAATAGTGATCTTTTCTTAATTTTTTGTTGATTTAATTGTATAAGGGTAGGTCACCCTTGTGCTCTGTTGTAATACATTTCTTTGATTATAAAAAATATAAAAAATAATAATAAATAAATAAAGAGAATTTGAACTACTAGTATCACAGCTAAAAATGAATTTGTATTACAAACTTAATTTTAACTATCGTTTTTTTTTTTCTGTCACATTAACATCTTTAATTTATACTTTCTGTCTTAAAATAAATGATTTAATTTATAATTTTTATACTGATTAAATAATTGTATAAAAATTAGTAAAACTTAATTCAACCCACAAGATTTGTTATTATTTATCATATTCAAATTTAGAACTTCACCATGAATGTAAGTTTATTATAGATATTGTCACTAGGAGTGGAATAGGCCAAACCCATCATAAAGAAGCCTAGACTGATTCAGTAAATTGATATGCAGGTTCTTTAAAAAGCTTATATATTTAAATAATTTAAACTTAAACTTTCTAAAAAGCTATTTAAATAAAAAAATAGTCTTATTATAATAATTATGTTATTTATTGTTTTTTTATCAATTTTTTATCAGAAGACATGATTGTGGATGTCATTTCTTTGGAGATCTTTAATGGAAGGTGTTTTTTATTCATTAGAGTTGAAGGATAAGTTTGTCCTCAATAATAGAGGTTGTCTTATATGTTTTTGTGTCATCTAAGATCAAATCTTACATGTTACATTATCATATACCGAGAAAGAGTGGAATTTGTCGTATGGACTTTGCTTTCGACAGAGTTTTAGATAGTCTTGATGTTGCAATTCCATAATTTGACCTTAGCAATTTTACTAACAATGACGTTGTTCCTCCTAAAATACAATATATTTTAGAGTACTATTTTTAGTAAAAATGTTCATGACATGAATGTAAAGGTTAGCATGACCATAACATTGAAAACAATTTTTGGTTGTTTGCAAGCTACACATACTCATGATTTTTTCTTTGTTATTTTTATTGATGAGTTAGATCAACATATGTTATCGATGGAGTATCATACTATCTTGAGATACCGCCTTATGATTCTCTTATTTTCTACCGATGAGATTTATTTTGTTTGTCGCATGACGTGTTTGGATACATTTAATGAACACATGATACATTGTAAGAAGCTTCCAAGCTTCAAACACCGACATAACCTTGCTATGAATGTTCTATTTGATATATTTTGACGAGGCGAAGTATCTGCAAAGAAAAGACACTTGTGAATTTCTTGACTAACCCATATGAAGAGAGATTGATACTAAGATGTTCTTGTGTGAGTAGAAAAAAACATGCATGTGTGAATTTGACAAATGTTTTTCCACTTGTGAGACTGACGACTAGAGATTTTACATTAAAACAAGTCATCTTTAAAGTCGCTTCAAAGTAATGTGGTAAAACATGAAAAAACGTGTTCTAACAATTAACATGTTTTCTTTTGACACATTTAATTTCCTAACACCATAAACAATTGATATTTTACAGAGAGTTATAAAACATATCCATAACAATATTGTATCTTATAGGCTAATGAAAATAGTTTTAAGGAATATTTATTTTACAATCCAAAAAGAATTAGCGATGCATTTAATTACTTCTTCCATTTTAAAACCATTATTTTAAAAGTAAATCACATAATTTAGAAAAGAAAGAGTTAAGTATACAAAATGTGTAAACTTGGCATGGTTTTATGTGAATGGGTTTTGGGAAGTAAAAACTCAAATTGAATACTCAAAAGCTCTTTCACGGAAATGAATATGGAAAACACGCGCGTACGTGTGGCTCTCTGGTTGGATGGAATATGCTGCTACGCATAGCCGCATCGCTGGCTTCCAAACACACACAACACAATGCCTAATTAAGTGCAACTTTTTCTATAAATGTTTCCGTCTAGTGCTAAAACTTTGCATTTCGGCAATTCATCCAAATATTGTTGTTGCATCACTCTAATCACATTTGTAACATCTTACACAACTTTATCTTCTATGCGTCTCTATGGGCTACTTCCTCCATCCCAAAAAATTAGTAACTCATTTAATATATCAATAATTTCTCACTATATTTTACTTTATAATAATATATCAATAATTTCTTTTTACACCACAATCTTTTGAATTACTCTCACTATTTTACAATGAATGATCTGATTGACTATTTCACACATATTATAAAAAAATAAATAATTAAAAGAGAGAATGATACTTTTATCAAATACATTTATCATGTATTGAGAATAAAAAAAGTAATATTAATTAAAAGATAAAATTAGAAAAGATGCATTGAAAGTCAAACTGCAATTAATGAATTACTAGTAATGTTTGATTTTAGTTTTTAACTTGTAGTTTTCTAACTAACTTTTAATTATTTTTTTTCTTGAATGTTATTTGAAGTAATTTTTGAGCTTGTAGCTTTTAACTTTTGACTTTTTAATTTAATTATACCCTTATTATTTTAACAAAAAACATATTTTTATTCTATAATTCACACGCACACACGCACTATTAAAAAATTAATTATAAAAGATTAAATTTATAGAGATTTTGAAGAATGTTCTATAAGATTTTTATTATTTTTATTTACTTTATTAGACATTATTTTTATTTATTAAATATAAAGGCAAAACTACTGTCTAAATTCTTTAAGTTGTTTAAAATATCAAGTTAGTCCTTTAAGTATATTTTGTAACGTTTTGCTCTTTTTTAAAAAATCTCCGTTACAATAAATTACAAATTCATATACCATTTGAATTGATTTTTCGCGCTGATCACGAATATGTAATTATTGTTGCATTTGATTGTGTACTTTGGTCAGATTGTTGATTTTTCATTATGTATTTCGTCCATTTTTATTTGATTCTCATGAATTGTAACTTGTTTGATAAATTTGATTGCATATTCGTGATAAGCGCAAAAAATCAGTTCAAATGGTATATGAGTTTACAATTTATTGTAACGGAGATTTTTAAAAAGAAAACAAAGTATTACAAAAAAAAACATAAGGGACTAATTTGATATTTACAAATAACTTAAAGGACTAAAATAGAAATATAAATTATATAATTAATTTTTAAATGGTGTTGATAATTCTGAAATTAGTGAAACATCGAGGGAGAATCAATAAAATTAACAAAATTGAAGAATATTCAAAATATTATTCCGATTTTATTGTAAAATATTAAGCAAATAAACTTATTATTATTAGTACTATTATTATTACTATTATTATTATTATTTTAGATTAATATAATTGAATTCAAAATTACAATATTATTATTTCACGTATTTTATTAAATTTTATTATAAAATTAAGAAAAAAATTATATGTTATGAAAGAATGAGTTAACGAAATCAAGAATTGTTGTTATTAGAATTACTTTTACTTTTATGCTCTCATAAATGATTTTATGAAATACCCTTACTTCATGTATGGTTTGTTGGTTCTTTTATTCGTTGAATTTTGTTGTCAATATATTCATACTAGATAGCAAAACTCATAAAATTTATATATTTTGATGATATCTTCCATTTTTCATATGTATTAAAACTATTTTATGTGTTGTTATTAATGCATTTATTTTTATCGAATAAAAATTAATCTAATAATACAATATAATAAGATAATGAAACCACTAATTTCTTAATTAAGAATGTCATTTTAGGTCATTTTGTAATTATCAGCTAGTGTAACAACTAACTTACCAAACACTCAAATTAATTTATAAACTATCAGCCACCAACTATAAGCTATCAGTCATCAGCTATCAACTATCAGCCATCAGCTACCAGTTATAAGCTATCGCCTATTTTTATCAGACAAAGTCTTAAATCAATTGCATCAAATTAACATACAAACATGAATATGATAAAAGTAGCAGCAACAATAAACATATAATACGACTTAAACAAAATCAGAAGCTAAAACTAATAAATAAATTGAATTTGTAATTAAAATTGGAATGGTAAAATTGTTGGAATTAAATGCCAGAAAAATTATTCTGGCAAGATTGTAACACGACCGATCTAAGTACGTTTAAAGTTCTAGAAAATCAGATTGCTAAGGTGCACTTTCTACTTAATGTGAGCAAATAAGTGCTCTTTAATTAAGTGTTTTTTCTCTGCATAAACAACGTTAAAACTTGGACACCTTAAAAATCAAATCGAAAAACTCATCCAGAAAAGTAGTGGAAGTCGGTTGAGATAATTGTGCTGAATGGAAGACTGATTCAGCCTTAGTGGGAGCGAAAAATTGGATTTTACCAGGCTAACGGTCATCAAGGAGGGATGATGCCCGTCAGCCTTTTCTTTT